CCAAAAAAATTTCTTTTGAATTTTTTAAATTTATAAAATTTTTGTTGACAAAAAATATTTTCAAATCCTAAATGCATTATTCGTTACTAAAATGCTTTAGAAATTTAATTAGACTTTGCRTAATTGACAATACTGTAATTGGCAGAGCGTTCTCTTATTTTCTCTCTCTCTCTCTCTTTTAACTAGAACACATTATCCACTCGCAGTTGCCAACTTCCACCTATACTTGCGTTTAGCGCACAATTCAAATATCCACAGAGAGCTAGACTCCTTMGTTTTCTCTCGCYYTYTCCCTCTCTCTCTCTATCTCTCACCCTTTAGACTGTAATAGTATTTTGCTTGCTTTTTCCGAGCTAGTTGCCTGAAATTTTGTATAAAATATCTAAATATATCTCATATATGTATTTTAACTTTCGTAAAGTGTTGCACACGACGTCAACAAACTGTTCTCCCTCCCCTTTAGCGTTATAATGTGCTTTGCGACTACTCTAGCACTCTCACTCTATATCAACGTTTTTCCTTTAGTGCTCCGCAAATCTACTAGTTTAGCTCAGCAACTTCTATTAGTTTACTTTAGTCATACCTGAAATATTCATTCTCTCTTCGTTACTCTTGMTTGATAGCATACCAGTTGTTACTTGTAATTAGTCAGTTCGGTTCATTTAGCAACAATAACAATAATGTATATTAAATTTAGGTTAAGTTTAACGTAATATAACTCTTCTGCTAGCTGCCTGTGTTAGTAACTGTTACCCTCTCTCTTTCACACACGCTTTCACTCACAAACTGTATACATAACTCTCTCTCTCTCTCTCTATCTAACGCTATCTCTGTCCTCCAACTGATTAGTAAACAAACACAAAATTATTGAATGAATTAATTGTTTGAAACAATGAAAGTCTATCAAACCAACTTTTTCTGTTTCAAAATTATTTGCTCGTTAATTAATTCAATGATTAATCGATTGAGTAATTGTTTAAATAGTGAAACTATTGTACGTTATATTTATATATATTCACTAAATTCAATTGTATGATAAATTGTTAAAACAAAAAAATTATTGTAATAAATAAAAACAACAACAATATTGTAAATTTGTAAAAAAAAACTAATCAATTAAATTGCATTCAATTCGTTTTTCGATTTTTAATCGATAAATTTTTTTCTTTTTTTCTTCTTTTTTAAATTAATTTCAACTTGGATTTTTGCGTTTACACAAAATAAATCGTACGCAATCGAATCGAATCGTTAATCAAACGAAAACGTAACGAAATCAAAATTTGCAAAATTACAAAAAAAATATTTGAAAAAATTTTCAAACTCAAAAAAAATCGTTTACACAAACAACCACCAAACAAACGTCTATTGCAAAATCGCATACAAAAAAATGCATCGTATTGAAACGCATCATAAACGTAAATTTTCGTACAAAAACAAAACCAATATGCATCTGAAAACCAAATTCAATGCAATGCGCTAAATTAATATGCTAATGCCAATGCTAATATGCTCATATGCCAATCACGCAATTGCAATTCCAAACCAAAAAAAAAATATTTGATACTTCAAATTTTTTTTATTGAATTTGCTCAAAATAAAATTTTGCAACTTATTTTTGCAACACGAATTAAATTGCCAAAAAAAATAAATTCTAATAAAATAAACAACACAAATCAAAATCACAAAAACTAATTTGCAAATCAAAAAAAAAAAAAATTGCACACAACAATTAACCGAAAAATAAATCAATAAAAAAAAATAAATAAACTCTAAACCAAATCAAATGCACACAATGACAATGACAAAGATGATGTTCCAGGCAAGGTGGACGAGAAGGCGACCCAACTGCATGCGATCGCCTCGCTCAAGGTATTGCTCGATGCAACGAAACCGCAACGCGGCGGCGCCACCACATCGGCTGCCAATCATGTCAAGATCAATTTGAAAGAGACCACATTGGCCGATCGACCCAATGGCAACATTGACACGACACTGGATTCGGTAAGTGGCAATTGTTTTGTTCCAATGTCAATTTACAACAACATTATGCTTTATAGATAATTATATGTTTATTATTATTAAATGTATGTGTGTATTTAGTAAAGAAGAAGAGTAAATTGTTCAGTAATGTATTGAAGCTGCTACAGTATATAGTAGGCATACTTTTAGTTAGTATTGCGTATAATTAAAAAAGTTCGCATACTTTTGGGCAGTGTTGGAAAAATATTGCAGCAAAAACGGTAAAAAATTGCTGTATTTAAATATTGAAAACCAAGCAATTTAAAATTTTTAGTATTGAACAGCATACTTTTAGGCGGCATTTGTTTTAAAAACAATTGGTTTTTTAATATTTTTGTAAAAMTTCAAGGAATATGCAAGAAATAWTATTAAATAGTTTTATTTTACTTCATAATGTTGCTGCAACGATGAAAATAAAACTATTTTAAATAATATAAAGCATACTTTTAGGTAGAAATTGTTTCAAAAGCTATTATTTTTTAATGTTGTTATACAGATCCAAGGAGTATGCAACAAATATTATTAAATAGTTTTATTTGTTGTTGCAAGGATGAAAAGAAAACTATWTTAATTAATATAAAGTCTACATTCAGGCGGCATTTATTTGAAAAGCATTTGCTTTTCAACATTTTTATGCAGCGCCAAAGAATATATAACAAATGGTATTAAATAGTTTAATTTTACTTCAAAATGCTGCAATATGAAGCATACTTTCAGGTGGCACTTGTTTCAAAAGCAATTTCTTTATATTTTTATACAGCGCCGAAGAATATGCAACAAATAGTATAAAAAAAATTTAATACCACTTGAAAAAGTCACTGCATCGATAAAATTAAACAGTTTTTAAATATTTGCGCCGAAGAATATGCAACAAATAGTATAAAAAAATTTAATACCACTTGAAAAATCACTGCATCGATAACATAAAACAGTTTTTAAATATTTGGAAGCATACTTTTGGGCAACTTTTATTATAAAAAATTAGCTTTTAGTATTTTTTAACCCACAACTGCGAAAAATAGGCAAAACAATATAATAAACAGTTTTTATAACACTCGAAAATGCCGCTGCACGGATAAAGTGCAGTTTTTAAATATCCAGTACACTTTTAGGCGGAATTTCTTATAAGACTTTCTAGATTTTGGACTATTTTTTACATTATAACTTAATTTGAAACGTAAATTCGCTCTACGCTGATGAYTAAATGTTGCTCCTCTCATGGGTGCAGTCTCTAGTCTACAGCACTTCGAGGAATTCTCGATGTTAAAGTACGTCACGAGACAGCAATATCTGCTCAGTGGCGCTACTTTTCTTCTCTTGAATTATATAGATCTTTAATTCCTTTTTCTCCTCCAAATTGATTAGTCCCCTTCCATAAAGTTTTTTCGATTTTGAGAGCGTTTTCGGTCTGTTGACGATTAGCCTATTCAGACCTCAGTCTGGTCTCAATATCATCATTGGATTCTAGAACTGCTTCCTTAGCTCATTATTCTTTTGCAGTTGCACCCTTTTCAGCAGTTATACAGCTGATCGATTCTCCGCATACCTTAATTTCGCTGCAACGTCGACCTTAAAAATACCCCTTTTCCTGACAGAATCACTAAAAGCAGCAACACTTTTGGCAYCTTTGCCTTAGCAGCAATGCTTAAGGTAGAGGATTTAGTTCCGGCTGCCGCTGGTATAGTTGTCTTAGTGAAGCTATTCTGAGTTTCAATTCCTTTGCTAGTCTAAGCTTTACTCCTGGACGAAACCTCGTTGCTGTATTTTGCGTTGGTGATTTTCGAGCTCGTTACAMACGATGACCTCTTCCGGGAACAACTTGTTCCCTTCGTCTTTTTACAGGAGATCCGAACTTCTTTAAAGTATGTCTGCTTGACAATGCCTTCCGATTATTATGGAGAGCGCTAGGTACACGTAAGCTCCGTTCCAAACTGGGCCCGCTATGTTGATCCTCGATWCGAGTCGAATTTCACTTCGATCCACCTCTTTCTGTACCCCCAACCATAGTAAAACTCCCCATCTGAATGCTTTACTATTGAAAATCTACGAATCCCCAGATAAAAACCATATCTTATTCGATTGTAACAGGAACACACTGCTACCAGAGGGGGATTTTTGCCAACCAATAAATACATACGCCAGAAACATTAAATTTTATGCCCAAGAGGAAAGGGTTTCATAGGAGCCTGGATCAAATCTGTACAGCGGACATCCCAATAGGCGAAGTCCCTTAACTCAGAACCTGTTCAACAAATTTCGACCAAGTKCCAATGACTTCATCTGTCAATCTCTAAGATATACTTATATATATTAATGAAATTCCGGCTGATTTTATACCGTATCTATCGGTCAATCTGCTAAGGTTCTCATTGAAAAACTACCCTCAATTTATTAAATTTTAATTAAAATTTTCGGTGGATTTTATACAGTATACATCCCTCACTCTGCGAGGCTTCTTAATCAGAGATTTGTAGCAATATTGTACTGAGTGAAAATAAGAAATTTCTTGAAAGAAATTTYGGCAAAAGATCAGTGCAAGAAATATGAAACGTATAATTTTTTTTCGCCAAAATGTATGCAATAACTTTTTGAGTCAGAATTTGGTTTGCTTAACAATTTATTGTATTTGTGATTTTCTGAAACGAAAATTAATTATGTCAACAAAAAAAAATAATACTTGTAAAAGTCTATTATTACCACAAATAAGACAGGAAATTGAAAAAACTTGAAAACTGATCTCTCACGGAGCAACATATCATGGACTCCGCATAAAAGTATGCTATATTAAAAGGAAGTTTGCATTTAAAATTTACCGAAYTAATTGTTTCAAAAAAATGTACGATGAATGAAGCACTATGCTCACTAAAATGTAAGCTAGTTTTAAAAGAACAAAAGATTTTGTACGAAAATGTCTTCGCTTCAAATACTGCACCTAATAATAATATAAAAAATACATATTTATAGTTAATGTCCTCCATTGAACTTTTACTGCATTATTTACTATAATGTAGTTTAAAGCTACGTTTTAGGAAGTACTATAGTCGCCAAAAAGTATGCTACATTTAACAGAACAAAACACTTTGTACAGAAATRCCTTCGTTTCATGTGCTGCGCTTAATAGTATGATATAGTTTCAAAAATATAATTTTGGTAAAAACTTTTAAACGGCAAATTTTTTTCGCCGCTCCCAAAAAGTATGCTATAAACGTCCTATGCATTATGAAAACAGCAAATTTCTTCTCTCCACTCTCAAAAGTATGCTATAAACGTAATATATCTTATGAATACACGTTATTTCTCAAAAAAAAAAAAAAACATTTCTAAAACTATTGCGTATTTGAATTAAACAAATAAGGCTAACAATTTCATCATTTATTGCATAAAAACTAAGTATTTACATAAAAGCATAAAATTTTGTCTCCCATCTTCTTAGGTAATTAGACGCGCATACGTAAAGTCACACACTATCCGCTGCATCTATTAACTCAACATACAAATTTATTTTCCACCGCTAGTCTATTTAAAATGCTCCATAAGCGTGTTTTGATTTCTCTATTTCACAAGTGATTTTGTTTTTTGCTGTCTGTTTTAAATGTATGTTTAGTTTCATGCGTCAAATGCATTTGTTGAAAACAATTTGTTAGTAAAATGAAAAAAAAGAGAAACTTTTTTTCAAATTGCGAATGGAAAGCATTTTTTTACTAGCAAGTCGGTTAGTTTATCAAAAATAAGACGTAATAAAAAAACAGTTATTAAAAAATAGTGTGAAAWTCAATTTGCTGTAGTTTGATGATAAAAAAGCACATATGAATTTGGTATGTGCTCGTTTATTTTATTCTAGCAACATTTGTAATAACTCTAGGTTCGTTGTTTTTATGTGTGCGTGTATTTAATTTTTCTTTTCACACACATCACACCCACACTCACACACGAATACACACGCGCTCACAAATACGTACACATGTATGTCACTACAACTTTTGTGCGAGTTGAAAAAYTTTGTATTTGAAATTTTCGTTATGCAAGCGCTGCTAGTAAAATGAAGTACGAACAGAAAGTATTTGAAATGCATAACTAATACACATAACCAAAGCATAACCAATGCTTAACTAAAACATAACCAATTTTTTAACCAAAACATAACCAATACACGCACACCTCACACTCACACACAGACTACGGGCGCTTGGAACTTGCAAGCTGAGCACCACCGTACTCTCTTACACATACATACATATTCGAAATTGAAATTGCAGAACACCGCTAAAGCAGTGCGAGTCACTTGTCCAAAGCCTAACATAAGAACCATAGAAAAGCATGAATGTCAAATACTAGTACACAAACGTATAAATAAATAAATTTTGATTAGTCGAAGATTTTGAGAATTTGATATATTTTCAYAATTCACTCATCATTATTTTATTTCGAGAGATTTTTGCTAATTTCAGACAAGTCTTCTTATAATCAACTCACCATGTTCTYAAAAAAAATTTAATTTCTTCACTAAGTCTTCAAAATATTATTTTTCTTATAAATCTCATACGAAAAATATTACCCAAACATAGTTAGTGGTTACCCTAAACACTGAAATTTGTCTCAATATCTACTAAAATGTCGTTACAGAATTCAAATCATTAGAATTTGCAGCTGAAATTCTTATGTCATCAAACTTGTGTTTTGACCGCGAAATAAATCACAATAGATATGTACTACATTACTACTACGAGCGATTGCTTCACTCAGCATATTTTCTGAATTCAAACCTCAACCAAACAGCTTTGGTCTTGTACTGCTACTTAGTCTCCATTATTATTTTTGACCTTAAGGTACCCTACAATGGGTCTGAAACTAGCCTTTGCTGCAGTTAATATATTTTCTCATTGGAAACATATTGGACTTTAGACAACCTCTCCGAAAAGGCGTGGGTCTCAGACTACTACTAAGATCATTTTGAAAAGAGACTAACCATAAAGTGCGGAAGT